CAGATCTCCAGCTTGTCAGCACAAGGAGTACTTGAGACGTCTCACCAAGTCCCTGGCTTGTGACAGACTCCGTAGTGGTAGGACAGGCCAGGTGACACTGCAGAACCAGGGAATAAGGACAGAAGGGCCGTGAAGCGTGTGTGGCTTCGGAGGTTTGGGCTGCACGTGGAGACCCCAATCCCTTTTGCCCGTCCAGCTGCAATGTGAAAGGTGGGCTGTGACAGCTGATAGCAATCGCTAGGAATTGAAGCTCAATCACAGTTACAGCTGATTGTAGAAACAACGACCTCGAGACATACCCCGTTTACTCAAGGTGCTGTTGCCCTGGTGACATGGGCCGGCCAGCAGGGATCTGCGTTGGTGTGACATACTTGGGTAGACTTGGTGCGGAGTTAAGTGGCCAGGCGCTTGGGCGCTGGAGGCGGGGTGGGGCACACCTTGTCTGGTAGTCCGTGGGCAGGGATCTGGCCCAGAGCCAGCCTCCTGCCTGTCCCTGTAGGAATGTTGGAGCACAGCCATGTCTGTGGCTTCTCTCCAGCAGCCCTCAGAGAGGATCATAGCAAAGCACTGACAAGCTGCATCTGAGAACACGTGGCCTACAGAAGCCAGCCAACCTTTGCAGGAAGCGTTGACCGACCTGAGGCCTCTGGCATAGCTGGAGCATTCCTTCCAGGGTAAAGGTCAAGGTATGGCACAGTGCAACTCGGATCACCATGAAAAGGGAGAGTCTGGGGTAGCAAGAACCTGTCAGCTGTTCTCTGCTGCAAATGGCAGACCTCGTCACAGAGGTACTGTGTTCGTCTCCGACACACCCCGAGTCTTAAAGGCACTTGTTCCCCAGGAGGCCTGGTGGTTAACTATCCCCAAAGCCGCGTCCAGGCAGGACGGATGCGAAGGTGGGTCTGGAGCCATGTCAAACTGCCTGTGCGAGACAGCCCTCTGCAGCCAGGCACGTCCCAGTCACGCTGCGCTGCTAGGGCGCCTTTACGTTTTATCTCTGAAAATTTGCTCCTAGACATGGAATTATAATAGGAGGGAGATTCGGGAAGTTGGTGGAGAAATGGGATTTAAGAATGTGTGAAAAACGTGTCAGTGCAACAGGTGGAAGCCACCTCTTGGGATGCTGTAACTGGTTTTCACAGTCCAGCTCCCTGCAGCTGCACAGCTTGGCAGGTGGCAGGCGGTGGCTTGTCACCCAAACCGCTGCAGGTATTTAGGGAGTAAGCCAGTGGAGAGAAGCTCTCTGCATTCCAAATAAAAAAATTTCAAAGTATATATGTTACATGGAGTGTAAGCCTGCCTGTTTTTTAAATACATGCAGCTTTTTTTTTTTTTAAAGATTTGTTTACTTGGAAGAGTTAGAAATCTTCCATTTCCTGGGTTATTGCCCAGAAAGCTGCAAAGGCTGAGACTGAACCAGGACAAAACCAGGAGCCAGAAGCTCCATTGAGATCTCCCACGAGCGTGCAGGAGCCATCCTCCGGTGCCTCTCCCAGGCACACTGACAGCTGGAGCAGAAGCGGGGCAGCCAGGCTCCAACCAGCATCAAGGGTACTAGCTCAATGCGCTGTGTCACAGCATATCTCCCTCCCTGTTGATATTTCTCTTTGAAGATTCATGTATGTGATAGAGTGGGTAAGAGAACGAGATGACCCAGTGGCTCACACCCAGCCACAGCAGCCAGGGCTGGGTCAGGATCCTGAGATGCTCGTTGTGGTCTCCCGAGTGGGTGGCTGGGTGGGGCTGTGTGCTGCTTTCCGAGAGTCGTGAGCTGGGAGCTGGGATGCGAAGCAGCACTGGTACGGAATGCCAGCGTTACAGGCTTAACCCGCTGTGCTGTGATGCCTGCCCCGTGCATAGCTTCATATTTTATTGAATGTTTACTACTTGGAAGGCAGGGTAACACACACAGTGGGAGAGGAAGGGAGGGAGGCCGAGGGAGAGAATCTTTGATCCCGGATACCCTCCCCTAACACCTGCAAAGGACAGAGCCCAGAAATCTCTTCCGGGCTCCCCCGTGGGTGCAGGGGCCCAAGCACTTGGCCATCCTCTGCTGCTCTCCCAGGCGCGTTAGCAGGGAGCTGCATGGGGAGTGAGCAGTTTGAGTGGGTGCCCATAAGGGATACCAACCTTGTGCAGGTTGTGGCTTAACTGGCTATGCCGCAGTGTACTGGTGGTCTTCCTAGCTTCTTTTTAATTGTTGCTTTAAAAAATGTGTTGTTTCAATCTATTGTACTTTAAGGAGTTACAGAGAGGGAGAGACAGATCTTTCTCTCTCTGTAAATCTGCCTTTCAAATAAAAATATTTTAAAAATAAGATCTCTTGCTCTGCCTTTTAATGACATAAATAAGTACATCTTGTAAAAAATTAATAAACTTAACAGGAGTGATATACGAGTGTGGAGGTGAGTGTATTCAACATTCACAGAGGGAAAAAAAAGACTTAAGTTTATTTTGATGTGCAAAGACCAAGGCCTATTAATGTGTGGGGCAGCAGTGCGATGTTCCATTTGGAGAATCCCTGGGGTCCTTTAGGGCAGAGACCCTCCCCTCTTGTGTGTCCCAACATGTGCTTTTCTCCGCCAAGCAGGGGTAAAATGCCAGAAAAATGTGCACTGGAGACACAGCTCCAGGTCGGACTACCTGGGTACGGGGTGGCCTGTTAGCACCCTGGGCTCCCCATGTACACAGTGTTCTGAAATCCCATCCCACAGGAGGCTGGGCACACTGGCGTCACCTAGGTGGCACTGCTGTGTCTGCCTGGGGCTTGGGGACCTGTGTCTATGGGGGGTTCCCACGCCATCCCACAAAGGGACTCCTGGAGTTTCCACTTCAAGGCTGGGAAGGAGGAGCACTTGTTTCCCTCAGGAATTAGAAAGCTACCTAACTCCGTGGCAGGGGTGGACAGCTGTGTCCCCCTCGTTCCATGCTGGGCAGGGGCAGGTTCCATGCCTCAGGATAGGACCCCAGCAGGCACTGCCCACCCCCTCAGGGTGTGCATTGAGGATTCCTGGCTGGCTCCCTGCCTGACCTCGTCCAATGTTGGCCTCCCCTCTGACTTATCACCAACATTCTGCATTCCTGTCCCTGCTGCCTTTCTCTGCTTCTTAAGAGACCTTGCCTTTAAAAAAAAAAGTTACTTATTTTTATTGCAAAGTCATATATAGAGAGAGGAGGAGAGACAGAGGAAGATCTTCCGTCCAATGATTTCACTCCCCAAGTGATTGCAACGGCCGGTACTGCGCCAGATTTGAAGCCAGGAACTTGCTCCAGGTCTCCCACGCTGGTGCAGGGTCCCAAGGATGTGGGCCGTCCTTGCCTACTTTCCCAGGCCACAAGCAGGGAGCTGGATGGAGCAGCTGGGATATGGACTGGAACCCACATGGGTTCTGGTGCATGCATGGCGAGGATTTTGGCCATTTTGACCATTGAGTCATTGCGCTGGGCCCTTGGGCTCTTTTGCTGCCTTTTCTGGATGGATTAGCAGGGAGCTGCAGGGATGTGGAGCAACTAGGATGTGAACTAGTGCCACAATGGGATACTGATGCAACACGTGGCAGTCTTGGTTTTTTTTTTAAAGATTTATTTTTATTATTTATTTATTGGAAAGGCGGAGAGACAGAGAGGAAGATCTTCCGTCCGATCATTCACTCCCCGAGTGAGCGCAAACGGCCGATACTATGCCGATCCGAAGCCAGGAGCCTCTTCTGGGTCTCCCACGCGGGTGCAGGTTCCCAAAGCTTTGGGCCATCCTCCACTGCTTTCCCGGGCCACAGGCAGGGAGCTGGAAGGGAAGCGGGGCTGCCGGGATTAGAACCGGCGCCCATATGGGATCCCGGGTGTGCAAGGCGAGGACCTTAACCGCTTGTGCCACTGCGCCGGGCCCCTAACACGTGGCAATCTTCTGCCACAGTGATGGATCCAACCTTCACTTAAAAAATTTTTTTTTGATTTGGGGCTGGTGCCATGGTATACTAAGTTTAGCCTCTGCCTATAGTGTCCGCATCCCATATGGGCACTGGGTTTATGTCCTGGCTGTTCTGATTTCCATCCAGCTCGCTGCTAATGACCTGGGAAGAGCAGTAGTCCAATGCAGGGTCTTGGGCTTGGGCTCCTTGCCCACCTTGGAGACCTGGAAGAAGCTCCTGGCTTTAGACCAGACCAGCTCCAGCAAGTGCAGCCATTTGGGGTGTAAACCAGCAGATGGAAGATTCTTTATCTCCCTCTTTCCCTAACTCTGACTTCCAATAAATAAGCTTAAAAAAATGGGGGGGGAGGGGAGTCTGGAGCGGTAGCCTAGTGACTAAAGTTCTCACCTTGCATGAACTGGGATCCCATATGGGTGCCGGTTCTAATCCTAGCTGCTCCATTTCCCATCCAGCTTCCTGCGTGTGGCCCGGGAAAACAGTTGAGAACAGCCCAAAGCCTTGGGACCCTGCACTCGCATGGCAGACCCTGAAGGGGCTCCAGGCTCCTGGCTTTGGATTGGCTCAGCTCCAGCTGTTGTGGCCACCTGGGGAGCGAACCAGTGGAAGGAAGATCTTTTTCTATATTTCCTCCTCTGTAAATCTGCCTTTCCAATAAAAAGAGAATTCCAGCGAGGCCTCACGAGCGCTGGCATGCGGGCAAAGCAAGGAGCTCTGATGTGTGTGCAGGGCTGCCACGCAGGGCTCCACAGGAGATTGGGGTGGGAGGGTTCTGTGGGTTGACGTGAGGCTCAGATAGTCTGTGGGGCCAGTCGGTGAACGGTTGCTGCATTTCCTGGCCTGTGTGAACCACAGGAAGTAGCTGGCAGGTGCGGGCACCCAACCCAAGGCAAGCTTTGAGGTCATCTAACTGACAGCGCGGATACTGTGGTGTGTCCTATAGTGAATAGAAAGGTGGGGCCCTCAAGGACACCCCTCTCCACCTCCCCCCAGGGCCACTGCGGGCACCAGACACCCCCTCCCCCCTCGCTGCACAGAAAGAGGCTCTCAGGGCCACAGCAGGGAGGGGCGACATCAGTTTAATGCACAAAGAAGCTCTTTGCAGTCTAGTAGTCAAAAGGTGCCAGAGGAGAAAGAGGCCTCCAGCGCGGTCCTCTGTGGCATCCGGGGTGCGGCGAGTACTCAGCAGTTTTGGGCGGAACCTGGGGAGGAGGAGGAGGAGGAGGAGGAGGGCAGGCCCTTTAGGCACAGTGCCTAGGCGGGCACGCCCCCTGCCCTCCCCACTCTGCCGCCCAGGAGGCCCGCTCACCTGGAGTAATGAGCGGCTTGGCTTTCTCAGGTAAGGGGCTGCGGGGAGAGCAGCATCGGATTAGCAGCAGGCTGGCTGCTGCTGGTGCTGGGAGCTTCCCTGTCTCCCCCCCGCCCGCCCGTGCTTCCAGCCTCCCACCCTGGCGGAGGGTCCCTCGGGTGCCACCGCGAGCCGCGGAGCAAGCCCGCTGCCCAGCAGAGGGCGCGTTCTCACCTGTTACTGCCCTTGCGCTTGCACTTGCCACCTGCGAGGGGAGGAAGAACCAGGTCGTCCCCAGGAGCCGACGCTCACGGAGCACTACCCCCCTCCCCCCCCGCCAGTGCACTCACTCAGAGCCAGGGCTAAGCCAAGGACGCACAGGAGCCCCGCGATGATCATCCCGCCCAGCTGCAGGCTTTCCCAGTCTGCGGATGCACTGAGGAGTGAGGGAGCTGGCCGGCTGGCCAGGGCTGCCTCACCCGGCGGCTGCTCTGCCAGCACCTGCTGGGGGAGGCGGCACACAGATACCCACCCCCAGCCCGTGGCGCCTCTGTCCCCACCGCGGGCTGGCCATCTGGTGGGAGGTGTGCCACGGGGACACAGCTGAGTGGAAGGTACTGAGCAATGAAAGGCTCTGCAGGGGAGGCCCGAGCAGAGAGCGGGGAGCGTGGAGGGAAGGTCCGGTAGTGAAATCTCTGGGCCCACGCTCTCCTGCATGTCCTGAGCCCTCCCTCAGCAGCTCCTGTGGCTGGCCCGGCCAGCCTTACTTACCGTAGTGAAATGGACTGTCCTCATCTGCGGGGAGGGAAGACAAGAGTCAGGGGCCGGAGTGGGCGGGGCGGGGAGTGGGTGTGGGGGGGAATACCGGGCCTCACTCACCCTGCAGGTCATTGGCTTCCAAGGCAGGCAGGCCTGGGGGGTGGGAGGAGAAGCAGAGGGGTGGGTGACGGCCCGAGGTCACCCATAGGTCAGTCCCAGGCATCCAGAAGCCTCCTGGGGCCTTCCCCAGCCCCATACACCATGTCTGCCTCCTGCTAGCCTTCCTTTCCTTTTATTATTATTTTTAATATGAATTTGTATTGGCAAGGCAGATTTTACAGAGACCGAAAGATCTTCTCATCCTCTGGTTCACTCCCTAACTGGCTACAACAGCTGGAGCTGAACTGATCTGAAGTCAGGAGCCAGGAGCTTCCTCTGGGTCTCCCACATGGGTGCACAGTCCCAAGGCTTTGGGCCGTCCTTGACTGCTTTTTCAGGTTAGAAGCAGGGAGTGGAGCAGCTGGGATTAGAACTGGAGTCCATATGGAAACCCAGGCTCTGGGAGTTGGAGGATTATTAGCCCAGTTGATCCATTGTACCAGCCCCTCCTGCTATCCTTCCTTATCTGTTTAAAAGATTTATCTAGTTTGGCCTAGTGACTAAAGTCCTCACCTTGAACATGCTGGGATCCCGTATGGGTGACGGTTCTAATCCCAGCAGCCCCGCTTCTCATCTGCCTCCCTGCTTGTGTCAGTCAAGGACGGCCCAGGGCCTTGGGACCCTGCACCTGTGTGGGAGACCTGGAGGAGGTTCCTGGCTCCTGGCTTTAGATTGGCACAGCACCGGCTGTTGTCACTTGGGGAGTGAATCATCAGATGGAAGATCTTCCTCTCTGTCTCTCTTCCTCTCTGTATATCTGACTTTGTAATAAAAATAAATCTTAAAAAAAAAAAAAAGATTTATTTTTTTACTGGGCAAAGTTAGAGTGGGAGAGTTAGAGATCTTCCGTCTGCTGTTCCTGTGCCCCTGCTACACATGGTTCAATTTTTCTCATACTCCTGGCAGCCCCTTGGAGAGTTGTCTTACCTGCACCCCCCCCCACCCTTGCCCCCGCTGTCCTCTGTGCTCGTGGAGTGGGCACCGGGCCCTGCTGGTGGGCGCTGTTTGCTTTCTGCCTGGGGGTGCGGAGTGTGGAGGAGGGTCCCATCCAGGAGCTGGGGAACTTACTTGCTAATGCCAGGAGAAGGGCCCAGATCCCTCGTTCCATGCCTGGGCTTGCAGGGTGGGGGCTGGGGTCTGCTGCTTCACACTCCGCAGGAGGCGGCGGAGCCTGGAGGTGGGAGAGCGCAGTCGGTGTTCTGACACGGGTGAGCAGGGGTCACGAGGCCTGCAGTGGTTCTAGGTCAGGGCTCAGAGCAGCAGCGTCCGCAGCCTGTGAGTGGCAGATGCTGCTCCTTCCTGCTCCCCTCCCCCAGCCCCCTCCCCACCCCAGCAAGGAGGCCCTTATCAGCTCAGTTTTCCGCAGGAGAAAATAAGGGTGCTCAGGGAGGCAGGACCGGATTCCTACAGCCAGGTGCAGCTTCTTGGAAGTCAAGGCTTGGAACCACCCTTGCAACCCCACCCCAGGGGCCTGGCCTCCAGCTCCCCAGGCTCCTGCTGATGAACTTCTGGGCCTCCTGTGGCCCCAGGGTTTGGCTTTCCTGTGCCCGTCCAGCCCCACTGGGGGGGGGGGAGGGATCCAGGCAGTGTGCCTCAGTGAACACTGGCACTGCCCAGGGACTCTGCTCCTGTGCTGCCCAGAAGCCTAGCCACCTGGCCCTGGGGTTGGATCAGAGCTTGAGGTAGGTCCTTCCCCTCCATGGCATTCCTGCGTTATCAGGTGCTCAACACCCCAACCAAGGATTCTCATTCAGTCCCAGACCCGCGTGACCCAGAGGAGGTCACCCCACACCTGCCCAGGCCCCAGTGTCCGACCAAAGGAGGAGAATCGCAGCACACTGAGCCCTTGTAAAATTGCAGCGAGTGAATTCAGTGAGCACCCCTTTGTCAAGTGCAATGACCGTTGTGCCGACACAGTAACTACACCTGCAGGCGGATGGATCCATCAGCCTTGAGAGGAAAGAGGGGGGACAGCACTTCTGAAACCTTAGGCTGGTGGCCGCCTCCGCCCGAAGCTGGGCTGCTTCTGTGCTTGGTCGGTCCCCGTGAACTCCTGGGTCCTCAGGGACCCCAGCCCCAGAGCTGCTACCTGCTGTCCTCATCCACCTCCCCCAAACAGGGACCCCTTACTCAGAATCCCAGAGCATCTCCACCCCTCCGGGCCCTGTGTCCACCCTCTCCACCCTTGCAGATTGCCTGCTGCATCTAGGAGCTCACCTGCAGCCGGAGCAACTGGAGCGAGACCTGGGCCACAGAGGCTGCTTGGGGCAATGGATGACTAGGGCCTGGGTGGGTTCCGCTCTTTAAGTCTGGGTGGCCCCGCCCAGGGCCACACAGCCTGCAGGCTGGAGGGAACTGGTCAGATTCCTTAGACTCCAGCAGCTTCCCTCCCCACTGGTTCTTAAGGACAAGGGCCTGTCTGCCACACCCAGGGCAGGGCAGGGCAGGGCTGGCTCCTGGGAGCTGCGGGATGAGGGAGAGGGGAGGGAAGAGATTGACCTCAGAGCCCCTCTGTGCCTTATGAGGCTGATGTCCCTGGGATCTCGGGCAGTGGGGCTTCCAGGATCCCTGTTGGGAGCTGAGGGGACCTTTGACCATGCCGTGACTCTGCTTGGTCCCACTTGGCCTGCAGAGATCCAAGGCTGGAATCAACAAGGATAGGCCCAGGGGGTTTACCAACACCTCCCAGTACCAGCATGGAGGGGACTCCAGGAGGCCAGACCATAGCCTTCCACTTTGTCCTGGTCCAGGGCTCTATGGGGGTGGCTGGCAAAGAATTGGGGGGTGGGGGTATTTCTAGCCAGGGAGGGCACTGTACGTGCCAGGTTGCTAGGTCAGAGATGGAGAGCAAAAAGGGAGTCTTAGAGGCAGGAGCTGGAGGGGAAGGGAGTTTAAGCCCTGGTACCCCTGTCATCTCTGACCCTCTGCAGAGAATGAGGGCAGAGTGCACATGGTGTGGCTGAGGACGGATATGGATGTACTGCCCCCCTGGCTGGGGTCTTGCCAGTGTAGCCCAGGGCCTGGCAGAAGCGGCATCTAAGAAGTCTCAGGTAATGGTTCTCATTGTGCTGCCCCGGAGGCTTATGCAGCACTTGTCATTGTCAGCACCTGCAGGGCGGGTTTGGCATCCAACCCAAGCCTCTCCCCCAACAAGTGCAGCCCAGACAACTCTGCAAAGCAGGAAAGCTTATCCAGGAGGCAGATAAACAGACCAGCCGGCTGCGGTCAGCTCTCCTTTCTAGCAGAGAGTGACCCCGGGGTGAGAGTTAGATGGGTTTTTATAGACAGAGTGAGTTGTAAGGTCATGGGCACCAGGTGAGCTGGACAGCCACGGGAGGCTGCCGTGGGAACAATGAGTTGGCTCAGGCGGCCACAGGAGGCAGTTATAGGAACAATGGGTGAATAAATCATACAGTATTGGTTCCTGGAACTGTTACTCCCTGTGATTTGGCCCCCAAAGCAGGAAACTGTACAAAGCATTTTGTCATGAAGAGCAGGTTAGCATATTCATGCAGGTCTGAACCAAAGTGACGCCATTTTGTGACTGCATTTCACACAGGGAATCTTAGAGGAGAGGGGCAGCAAGGTGAGCCTCCAGCCATGTGGTAGGTGGTGAGGGGAGACCCCAGGCCCTCAGTGGGGAGTGAGCAGAGACCCCAGCCGTGCTGCCAGCAGTGAGGGGAGACTCCAGCCCTGCGTGTGCCAGGCACAACCACCCTCACTGCCTCGGCTTCTCCTCCTAGGGTTTCTCATGGAGCTGCTCACCCATCTGTCACTTTCCCTTTTTTTTTAAAAAGATTTATTTACTTTTCTTGGAAAGAGTCACAGAGAGAAGGAGAAAGATGTTCCTTTTGCTGATTCAATCCCCAAATGGCTGCAACAGCCAGAGCTGGGCTGAGCAGGAGCCAGGGGCTTCTTCCAGGTCTCCCAGGTGGGTGCAGGGCCCCAAGGCTTTGGGCCGTCCTTGACTGCTTTCCCAGGCCACAAGCAGGGAGCTGGATAAAAAGTGAAGCAGTGGGGACAGGAACTGAGGTCCATATGGGATGCTGGTGCTAGCAGGTGCAGGGTTAGGCTTTTTCTGCCCAGGCCTGCAGGCATGTGTGTATTCCTGCCAGTGTGGAGTTGGCTGGCTCTGGGACCCATCCTTCTAGTTGGAGGACAGTAGGCAGGGGTCCCTGGTCAATATTTTTTAATCTTGGAAATGTAGTTTACAGAATAAAGGAGAGACGGAGAAAGCTCTCCCATGCAGTGGTTCACTCCCCAAATGGCTGTAGTGGCCAGAGCTGAATCCATCCAAAGCCAGGAGCCAGGAGTTTCTTTTAGGTCTCCCACCTGGGTGCAGGGGCCCAAGGACTTGGGGCATCCTCCAGTGCTTTCCAAGGTCATAGCGCAGAGCTAGGTCAGAAGTGGAGCAGCCGGAGCCCGATCTGGTACCCATGTGGGGTGCTGGTGCTGACAGCATCAATTGAGCCATTGTGCTGGCCCTTCTCTGTCAGTCTGGAGTGATTTGTTCCATTCCCTTTGTTCAGGGAACGTCGAGGTTGCTTCCTGCTTCACAAAGCAACAGGCAGAGCTGGGAGAAGAGGATGGCGTGTCTGTGGGACTGGGAGGAGGCCAGGTGGCCATGACTGACCAGAGCAGAGAGGGAGCTAGGTGTGACCCCTGATGTTCAGCAGCCACTCTGGGCCACAGACTGCCCTCCCCTGACCACAGTATCCTTGGCATTGTTGGCTGCAGTCAGGGAGGAAAGGCCAAAGTGGAGAGCAGGTGTGTACCCCAGAGACCAAGTCCCTACATCTCCACCAGAGTGTCCGTCTGGGTTTATTGTCTTGGCCCGGCGCCTGACTCCAGTTTCCCACTAACACATCCCTTGGGAGGCAGAGCTGATGGCTCTGGTGGTTGGGAGACCTGGCTGAAGTTCCCGCTCCTGGTGTTGGCCTGGCCATTGTGGTCATGTTGGGAATCCAGCCACTGGGTGGGAGCTCTCCTCATCTATCTACCTGCATCTTAAATAAATAAAGCAAGCAACCAACCAACCAAAGAGAATTGATGCTGGGGCTGCTCATTTTACCTTGCTCTAAGTCTTTCAACTCCTGTGGGTTTTAAAAGATATATTTAATTTTATTGGAAGAGCATGTGTACAGAGAGGAGAGACAGAGAGGAAGATTTTCCATCTGCTGGTTCACTCCCTAAGTGGCTGCAACAGCCAGAGCTGAGTCGACCCAAAGCCAGGAGCTTTTCCCAGGTCTCCCATGTGGGTACAGGATCCCAAGGCTTTGGGCTGTGCTCATTTGCTTTCCAGGCCACAGGGAGGGAGCTGGGATGGGAAGTGGAGCAGCCTGGGATTAGAACTGGCGCCCATATGGGATCTCAGTGTATACAAGGCGAGGACTTCAGCCACTAGGCTTCTGTGGTGAGCCCTTGTAGGTTTTGAGTTGCACCACCTGCAGTTCAGGTGCCCTGGCTGACTCTGCCTAGTCATCCCAGGTTGGCTTTCCTGTGGTTCTCACTGTCCCTCCCCACCCACCTCAACCCAGCTGCCTCAGCTGCTTGCAGGCATGAGATCAGGCTGCAATGCATGGCTCCAGGGGTCTGTTCAGGAATGCATGCTCAGGAGCTGGGCTGGGACTTCCTGAAAACACCCTTCGCTGGCAGGCCAATTGCGTGGCAGAAAGCATCTGGCCACCCTGATGGATAAGTTTAGTAAACACTGGTCTATCTGCTTTATTTTAAAATTAAAGATAGAGACATAAAGGAACTGTAAGCAACCAAAGATATCCCCCCCAGAGGCCTGCTATGACTGGGGGCCCAGGCAGATGCCAGTAACTCAGGCCGGGTCTCCCGAATGCATGGCAGGAACCCACGGGCTTGACCCAGCACCTGCTGCCTCCCAGGGCACACGTTCTTATTCTCACTGGAAAGGCAGATTTACAAAGAGGAGAGACAGAAAGATCTTGCATTTGCTGGTGGACTTCCCCAAGTGGCCACAACAACCAGAGCTGAGCTGATCTGAGATCAGGAACCAGGAGCGTCTGGGTTTCCCATGTGGGTGAGGGTCTCAATAATAATAATTTTTAAAAACCATAATGACCAACTAATGAAATAGAACAGTTTTTCACAATATAATACAAATGATTTGAGTGTGATCTTTCTCTCTTTCAAAATACCTTTTTGGACTGCATTTTCAGACTGCAGGGAACACGGTTTCTGGACAGCCCAGAAGGGTGACTGCAGTAGCTCCTGAATGAAGGTGTGTCCCAGGACAGAATGAGAGGGAAATCCATTAACTACAGGATCCAGCAGCATTCCCAGCCAGCCCACTCTTGGGATTGGCCAACTCTGTGCCCGCACTGACCCCACTTATTATGTGCCTTTTTATTGTTATTATGCTTTATTGTTGGTCATTGCTGTTTATATCTGTAGGCTAAATGGTTCTTTTAAAAAAATACTTATTTATTTTTATTGGAAAGTCAGATTTATAGAAAGAAAGAGAGACAAGAAAAATCTTCCATCCACTGGTTCATTCCCCAAGTGGCCACAACAGCCGGAGCTGAGCCAATCCGAAGCCAGGGGCCAGGAGCTTCTTCCAAATCTTTCAGGAGGGTGCAGGGTTCAAGGCTTTGGGGGCATCCTGCACTGCTTTCCCAAGCCACAAGCAGGGAGCTGGATGGGAAGTGGAACAGCTGGGACACAAACTGGCGCTCATATGGGATCCCAGTGTGTGCATGGCAAGGACTTTAGCCACTAGGCTAGAGTGCCTGGCCCTGTAGGTTAAATATTTTAAAAGATGTACTTATTTCTTTTTTAAAAAAAATTTATTTATTTTTATTACAAAGATCTACAGAGAGGAGGAGAGACAGAGAGGAAAATCAGAAGATGTACTTATTTGTTTCAAAGCCAGAGTTATAGAGAAAGAGATGGTCCCCACATTGATTGAGTCCCCAGGGGTGGAGGGGTCAAGAATGTGAGCCATCCTCTGCTCCCTCCCCAGGTGCATCGGGAGTGGAACGATGCTCACACAGCATGCCAGCGTCACAGACAGCTGTTTAACACCCAGCTCCAAACGCCGGCCTCGGATAATGCCTTGGCATCGCTCTCTCATAGCACTATCAGGAGGGAACGAACTGGGCATGGGGCTGGTGTGATGTCTCGACTGGCTGATCCACCACTTGCAAGCACCGACACCTGGATGGGCAATGGGTTTGTGTCCTGGCTGCTCTATTTCCCATGCAGCTCCTTGCTTCTGGCCTGGGGAAGCAGCAGGGAACTGCCA